TTTTTGTTTTGGTGAGGGAATATTAATTTGAGTAGCTTTACTTTTGTATGTTTTTAGTACTCATTGCAAAACTTGAACAATACAAAAATCAACAAGATAATAATAAAATTACTCCTCATCCCGAATGTTTTTCCACAGAGATTATAACTTATAACAGTTTGGTGTGTGTGGTTCCAGACTTCTGATTATGCATAGACAAAAAAATAACACATTTCTTTGAAAGGTGGGATTATACAGCATATATTGTTCTGTAGCTTATTTGATTAATTTAAGAATATAACATGTTTCTGTATCAGCAAGTTCAGGTTGATCTCATTCTTTTAAAGGCTGTGTAGCAATCCGTTATTCTGATATAATACAACTTATTAGGTTATTTCTAGTTTTTTACTGTTAGAAAGAATTCTGTAGTAAACATTCTTGTATATTTATGAACTTATTTTTGTGGAAGAAATGTTTAAAAATAAAATAACTGGATCAAGTATATTATAGTTTAAAATTTTCATTTTGCCAAATTGTCCTTCAATAGATTATAATAATTTGTTTATGTTAATACCCATAACTATTTCCATATCTTTAATCTTTTATAATGTAATTGGGAAATTTAAAATTTTGTTTTTATTTGATCACTGATGATGGGGAAGCATATTTTCATAATTTTGTTGGCTGTTTATATTTTTTCTTTTGGGAATTGTTTGGTCCTGTGTTTTGCAATTTTTAAAAAATTTGATGTACCTTTTTTAGGTTGCTTTGTAGTACCTTCTAAGATATGGTTAGTAACCTTTTGTTATAGTCATTAATTCATGTGTTTTTCAAATAGTTATTGAGTGCCTACTATGTACTGGGTGCTGGGAACATACTGGTGAACAAAACAGGTACGGATCTTATAGTTTCGTGGAACATACAGTCTTTGAAGAAATGGTCAGATGCTCAACTACAGAATTAGAATTCTGATCAGTGTGTGGAGACATGAGGGTGTAAACCTAGACTGGGGGATTAGGGACACAGTCCTAGAAATGAGGAAAATCAGATGACTTGGAGGAAAAGAGAGATCAAGGTGGTAAGAAGGTACCCAGCAAAGGGCTAACGATGGAGTTAAGGGTGGAGAGGTAGATGGGGGACAGAACTTCTAGAGCCTTGTAGGCTGTACTGTGATTTTGTTCTTCATCCTAAGGGCTTTTGGAAACTTTGAAGAGTGTCAAGATGAAATTGAAATTTGTATTTTACACAGACAACGTTAGTGTAGAGGGTGAAGGAGCGCTGTGGGGAGAATGGATGGTGGAGGGGGAAGAAGGCAAGTATCACAGGAAGCAGAAGCCACAGCTCTCCAATGAGGTGGTTAAAGTCACTGGTGGCCACTTTGTTGTGGGGGAAACTGAGAATGTCAGGGAGGGATGTTTCCCCGAGAAGCCATGTTAATGTTTTGCCTGGTTCTTTTTAGTTGTGGTCTAGGCCAGGGGCCTGTGATGATTTTGCTTAGTTAAATTAGACGGATGGTTTGATTTTGTCCTGTAGTTGAGCAGGAGTGAGTTTTTTTGTTTTTGCTTTGTTTCTTTCTGTTTTGCCAGCTTCACGTAATCTTGACTTTTCTTCAACTCCCAGAGGAATTTCAAAGGGTCTAATTTCACTAATTATACACTTCCTCTCTACAGCCTGCCAGCACTTTTTCCATTTTTAAATTAAGGTGGTGCTGTGTATTTTATCTATATGATATCAAGGTCTCAATAAATTGTTATGCTGTGGTAAGGCTTGGTGGTTATCTGGTTTATGTTCTCTTTCTTTGGATTTTGTCTAGCACTTAGGATTTTCAGTGTAAGCTACCATAAATCTTGAAACTAACCCTTTGCCTGATAACCTTTTTTAAAAATTTTTTTTTAATTTTTAAAGATTTTTTGGCCGCACTGCATGCATGGCATGCAAGATCTTAGCTCCTTGACCAGGGATCGAACCCATGTCCCCTGCAGTGGAAGCATGGAGTCTTAATCGCTGGACTGCCAGGGAAGTCCCGCCTGATAACATTTTTGATAAGTGATCATAGATAAAACAAATTTCTCAGGCTAAAGAAAAAAAGAAATTAGTAGAGTCCCTTATAATTCAGTTGATGCTGGCTTGATGAAAAATTATAAGCATTCCTTAAAGTTTTTGTTTAAATCTTAGATATGTTGCTATGTGTCTAAATACATAGGTAATTCTTAATGTTCTTTTAGCAGCATTTTTTTCAGTCTCATGAATTTAAGTGACATTTGAGTTATAGAAGTTTGAAATCCACAGAAGCAATTAGTAACTCTTGATTCATGATTTACTAGATAAATAGGTTCAATCTGGTCATTTTATTCTCAGATGATTAGAATTCTGATGAAAGGAGGGCTGGAGAATCAATGCATGCAAAGTAGCCAAATAGATTAAAAGAGTAATTCGCTTATTGATTAAAATTTAGCAGTAGATAGCAAGCATCTCTCTGAACCCTCTCCTAAGATTAAAGAGAAAATTAGAATGAAGTGCAGCTATTTTTAAAGAAACCAGTCATATCAGTCATTCTCACCAAGATTTTAGTTGTTGTGTTTTGAGAAAATGAAGAGGCAGGTAAAATATTTTATTACCTACTGAATTTTATAAAATCCTTAAAGAATAAGTGAGAAGAGTGTTGAAAAAGTTGGCTTTTTTTTTCTTTTTAACTTTGCTACGTTACTTGTGAACTTTTTCCCTTGACTTAGAAAAGGCCACCTTTATATCTGGGAAGAAACCCCACTTTGTCATTCTTTTACTCCCACTTGTGGTGCTCTACTGGCACATCTCTGTGTTCTTTTGGTGACAACTTTTTAGGTCATTTGCAGAGTATCCCGCATGGTCTTTGGGGTTCTGTCATGCCTTTCAGGCTGATCATATGGTATTAACGTATATGGTAATGTACTTTGCTCTTTCTTTTTCTTTTTTTAAAAATTTTATTTAGTTTTGGCTGCGTTGGTTCTTCATTGCTGCGCGCAGGCTTTTTTCTAGTTGCGGCGAGTGGGGGCTACTTGTTGCAGTGTGTGGGCTTCTCACTGCGGTGGCTTCTCTTGTTGCGGAGCACAGGCTCTAGGTGAGTGAGCTTCAGTAGTTGTGGCTCGTGGGCTCTAGAGCTCAGGCTCAGTAGTTGTGGCACATGGGCTTCAGTAGTTGTGGCTCGTGGGCTCTAGAGCGCAGGCTGAGTAGTTGTGGCACACGGGCTTAGTTGCAACGCGGCATGTGGGATCTTCCTGGACCAGGGCTCGAACCCGTGTCCCCTGCAGTGGCAGGCAGAGTCTTAACCACTACGCCACCAGGGAAGTCCCTCTGGTAATGTACTTTTCTAGTGTACACTAATTTTTAATAATTACCTATAGTAATTGAAAAATAGACATTGTTGCGTTTCTCATCAGGGTAATTTCATTTTTCCAATGAAGTTTTGCAGTGTTTTTTTTTGCTGTATGCGGGCCGCTCATCACTGCGGCCCCTCCTGCCGTGGAGCACAGGCTCTGGACGCGCAGGCCCAGCGGCCATGGCCCACGGGCCCAGCTGCTCCGTGGCACGCGGGATCCTCCCGGACCGGGGCACGAACCCGCGCCCCCTGCGTCGGCAGGCAGACCCCCAACCACTGCGCCACCAGGGAAGCCCCTTGCAGTGGTTTTATGGTGAGTGGCAAGTAGAGCAGAAAGTGTTTGCTAGCTACTAACCTTTGTACCACTTGAGCATTCTGTAAACCCAAAGGATGGAAACAGCGTATCATTTTGAACTCTGCCTGTATGTTTAAATAGTACTGATTCTTCTTTTTCTGTGTCATGGAATATATAGTTTTTAATGTCTGCTTTTACTTTTTGAATAGGTAATATTTTCACATGGTTCAAAATCCAAAAGATAGGAAAAGTTAGCAATTCAGTTTAAAACTTACTATGTAGGAACCGTATTGAGAGTTGCCTCTGTAGTTCTACCTGCTTACTGTGAAATGGTATTGATTCATATCTTTAAATGATGCCTTTAGACCTTGTGTGTTGACCTTTCTTTGACAGTCTCTGAGTTCATATTTTTCTGAGTCTCTTTTTGCTTTGACTAAGCTGTAACCAGATTTTAAAATATTCTACATATACTACTGTAATCATGAGGTGAAAACTTAGTTTTTAATCAGGTTTTAAAGTGCAGCTTCTCCAAAGCAACATGGTATCTCTTGGGAGATGACTAGTTTGGGTCAGGTTTTAATGTCCTCTAGGAATTTAGCTCTTTTTTTTCCCCTTCATTTATTCACTTAAAAAGTATCAAGGGATTTTCAAATATACACAAAGTAGAGAGGATACCATAGGAATCCTTACATGTGTGATTCTTAAAATATGGATCTAGATTCACAAGGAGCATTACCATTTAGAATGTAAGTCTGAAAACAATTTTTTTCTTAATGCAGATTTCACTACTCATTAGTTAAAAGGGCAAAAAATATAACATTTGGTGTAATTTGGAAAGATCACTGAGATAAATTGTCAAATAAAAAAACAAGGTGCAGCATACCACCTTTTACTTAAAAAAAAAAAGGTAAAATAAAATACATATTCATATTTGCTTGTATATGCCTAAAGTAACTTGGGAAGAACACAATAAGAAACCAAAACTGGTTACTTGGGTTTTTAGGGGCAGGGAAGGAGACTTTGAGCTCTTTACCTTTCTGAGGTTTGTTTGTTTACTTTTTTGAACCCTATGAAATCATTAAAAATAAATTTGAAATTTATTTTAAAATTATTAAAAATCATTAAACATTTTTTTAAAAACAGAATATGTAATATAAAATTTACAAATTGAAAATATATCACAATAATGGTTATTTTCCCAGAACAGTCTGTGGATTTAGGTAAGAGGTGTTTTGACTGTACCAAAGTAGTCTGTGGTATACTTTAAAACCATACTTAAAGAGATATGCTTTAAAAACTACTCCATCCCCAAAATGGCAGTTTATTTTATTGTAACCTTTTTTTTCTTTTTCTTTTTCTTTTTTTTTAAAGGCTGGTGGGGTAGCAGGTGTCTGTGTTGACTTGATATTATTTCCTCTGGATACCATTAAAACCAGGCTGCAGAGCCCCCAAGGATTTAATAAGGCTGGTGGTTTTCGTGGAATATATGCTGGCGTTCCTTCTGCTGCTATTGGATCCTTTCCTAATGGTAAAAATTATATTGGTATTATCACTGCTTTATATAAAGCCAAGATAATGGGATTTATTTTCAGAATGGTATGTGGTCCAACCCTATATAGAATTCCTTATATGATTGTGTAGTTGATCTCCTGAATTTATTTTCTATTCATTAATCCATTATTTTTGACTCAGCTGGTGCTATAGATTCCATTCTAGTGTATTTGTAATAAAAAAATGAGCAATCTTTAAATGAGTGGTTTTTGTTGTTGTTAAAACTCCTTGTTAGAATCCTTAAAGTTGTTCCTGTAACATTGATTGTAATGTCTTACAGCACTTCTTAACCTTGCCTGCACGTTGGAATCTCTTGGGGAGCTTTACAAAATACTTATGCCTGTGTCTCCATGAGAAGTTTAATTGGTCTGGTCTTTGCCTGGGTATCAGGAGTTTTAGTAACTTCCCAGGTGATTCAGATGTGAAGCTGAGTTTAATAACCACTGGCTTGGAGATTCTTGTGGAGCAGATGAACCTAAGAGGCATTAAATCTTTGTCTTAACTAAATTGCTCTCAGATGATGCAACCCATTCCCACTAACCTCCTCTTTTCATTGTCTTGCTTTTGTTTTGGTTTTGAAGTTGTGTGATTTATGGCCCTTTTATTCTATAATCAGTATAATCTGTTTCATTTAATCCACCTCTTTTCAGATACTTATTTAAATAATTGTTTACTGATGCTTTGATTGGCACTCAAAAGCAGACTAAGCAAACAGAAAACCACCACTATCAAACACACACACACACACACACACACACACACACACACACTCTCTCTCTCTTTCTCTCTGTCTCACATACTCACACACTCACACACTCACTCACAAAACCCCTGCTCCAGAAGATTCTTAAATTCTGGAGTTTGATTTCTTTTTTCTCAGTATATGTCATTAGAAATTCTTTCTTGTTAACTTGACATTAAGATGTCTGTCTATATCCATCTGTGAGCATAACATTCACATAAAGATTTGTAGAGCAAATCTTTTTGGTCCTTTAGTTTATCTTCCTGAGCCATCCTTAGAGCAGCCAACTGTTTTGAGGTTATCCTTGAATTATTTTATGTCTTAATTTTCAGTAATTGATCATAACAAGTCGCTATTGAGGACCCACTCCATGCCAAGTATAGCTCTATATGTGGGAGATGCGCCTTGGTTCCTAAATTTGTCTGTGTTGCAATCACCTGAAGAGATTTTTTTTTTTTTAAAGAAAGTACTGCTGTCCCACTCCCAGAGATTTGGGATTTAGTTGGCGTGAGGTGTGGCCTGGGCTTTGGAGGTTTAAAAAAAAAAATCCCCAGGTAATTTTAATATGTAGACAAGTTTGGGAACCTCTGAACTAGGGAATTGCAAAGAAATATGTTACTAAGTCCCTGTCTTTTGGTCATCCATTCTTATGATGCCTCCCTCATCATTGTAAATATTCTTTTTTCTCTTACGTATTACATAGGAATTGTTGGTAGATGAAGTATTAGTGATGGTCTACAGGGTACGTGGTGCTCCATTAAGCTCATGGGGCTGGTTTAGATTCTTGTCAGCAGGACTTTACATACAGAATATGGTTTTGAAATTTTGTATGTTTGAGAAAGTGGTGTTCTTCTTGCCCTGCTTTTCTTTTTCTTTTTCTTTTTTTGACATCCACAGAACATCTTTGAATGGGAGATGCTGGATAAAGAGTCAGAGTGTCAGCGTTTCAGAAATGGCCTTTCTGTTTTTCTGCAAATTTTTGGTGAATTGAAACTTTTTACGTGGCACGTTAAACAATTTTTGCTATTGGTTAAGGTTTTAGACAGAGTACAGTGCACCAGTGTAACATTCAGAGGCTTGTAGACTTTTTTGAGAACATATTGTGCAGGGGGTATGAGGGTCGAAAGAAGAGAGGAAAAGACCTGTATTCAAGACCCTTACTTCATGTTGAGAAAGGAATGTAGAAAAACCATAGTTTTTTGTTTTGTTTTCACTCCTGGGGGGTGGGGGTGGGTGGGTGGAACGTGTAGCAGGTAGAACTTACAGCCGAATGCGACTGGAGATATTCTAGCCTATTTAGTGAGTAGGCCAAAGTAGGAACAGCCTAAATAAGAATCACAAGTGGGAATTGGGACCTGCATTAACTATATACAACTGCTTGCATGGTCATTACTCATCCAGGGACAGTGTGCCTCCTCATTTGGCCTGCTGTTTGTTTGTTAGCCACTGGGGTGTTTACAAGCTTGTTGGCTTTAACTGTGGAGAACTGATTTTCACTACCAAGCTCTTTTCCTGAGTGTTTCAGACTTTACTGTGTGACATGTTCAAATGCCTTTCGAAAGGTGAATTTGCCATTTATTTATCTTTCGTGCCTCACCTTTTACGTGAGTGATGCACATCTTTTTATTAACAATACGTGGCAAGGCTTAAAGCCTTCCTGTGCAGCTAAGATTAGTTCATGGTGATAGGGGTAGCTTTTTTTTTTTGCGGTACATGGGCCTCTCACTGTTGTGGCCTCTCCCGTTGTGGAGTACAGGTTCCGGACGTGCAGGCCCAGCGGCCATGGCTCACGGGCCCAGCCGCTCCACGGCATGTGGGACCTTCTCGGACCGGGACACGAACCCGTGTCCCCTGCATCGGCAGGTAGACTCTCAACCACTGCGCCACCAGGGAAGCCCTAGGGGTAGCTTTTTAGAGATTTTGATTTCCAGTTTTAATACAGTAGTTGATTGTTTCCTTGATGTAAAAGTGAGTTGATGTAGTAAAAAGTAGCCATGGTTATTTTGAGTAACCAGCAACACAACATTATGGAATAGATGCTTTATTTAGTTAAGATATGTGTTTGCAATTTTAACCTGTCTAGAAATCAGTGTAGCTGATTATTTTATGACCATATATAAAGACGTTTTGCATCACAGAAATTCATATCCTTTTCCAAAAAACTTAACTAAAAAGTGTTAAGTGACTTATCAGTACAAACTGGTAAATGCCAGGTTAGCTGTTAGTCTTCCTCAGGGCAGGGATCTGCATGTTTGTAAGTCCAAAGTCAGGCATGTAACATGGGCTCAGTCAAATCTGCAAGAGTGAAGGGGTTGGGGGGGAATAGTACATATTATTACTTTATCTTTATTTATATTTATTTATAGTTATAAATATATACATATATAATATATACATATATAATATATACATATATATGTATAAATATATACATATATAATATATACATATATTAAATACATATATACATATATTTAATATATATTTATAAATATAGTTCAGTATTTATATTTATTATTTATACTTATTTATATTACTTATATTTATTATTATCTTTATCTGTTATAATTTAATAACTAGAGTTGTAATTTTTTTCAAGAAACATATCTCTTAACAGTTTACATATATATTTAAACTTTGTGAAAGACTGGTTTGTTTTAAATTTCAGCTGCTGCCTTTTTCATCACCTATGAATATGTGAAATGGTTTTTGCACACTGATTCATCTTCGTATTTGATGCCTGTGAAGCATATGTTGGCTGCCTCTGCTGGAGAAGTGGTAGGTAATAAGTTATGTGTATAAAATACTTCAGAAATGCAAAGTATGCAGATATCTTCAGCACAGGTATTACTTCATTTCATTTTTAAAAGACAGTTCTTTTTTAAATTATGAAAGTCATAAATCCCAATAAATGTAAATGGATTAAACATGATAGTTGAAAGTCTATATAGGATGAAAGAAAAATCCAGCTATCTGTTATTTACAAGAGACACACCTCAAACATAATTATACAGAAAGAATAAAATTAAAGAGGTAGAGGAAAATATCCATGCAAATTTTGGTGGCTTCATGTTGGGTCAGCATAATTGAGCTGGAAGTCTGTTTCCTAGAACACCCTTTCCAGGAGGGTTCCAGGTTAGCCTGGCTACAAGAGAAAATTGCTCAAGATTTGTAAGGTGGAAGTAAAGCAGCAGTTGTATTCATGCTCAGAAGGTTGGTGGGAGGTCAGGCACTGCTGCAGTTCATACACCTCATCCCTGATCTGTTGGCTTCAGGCAGCAGTCAAGCCTCCAGCTCCTCCAACTCTCACTGGGTCTTCTCCTTCAGCTTCTCTAAATTTTGAGTCAGTTGTGTGGGCTCTGTCGTGAAGGGTGCCAATTTATGTTGTAGGTCACCCACATCATTGAGATTGGTGAGGGAGAATGCGAGTTCCAGTTTGTCCTTGCTCTTCCCCATTTCACATCCATGTTTCCTTCCTGATTGCATGCCTTCTAAGTTTCTGTCCCAACACTAGATGCAGAAGCAACAGTTCTACATAAGTTGCTTAACCAGCTCCCACAATTACTGTTTATATCCCTGTAATAGCTTCTTATTCTTATCATTCTTAGTGGTTCTACTTCTCTGATCAACCCTAACTGATTCAGAAAGAGTAGCTGAAAGAGAGCTGATAGTAATGTTAATATCAGATCAAGAAAAAAAAAAAGACAAAGCAAAAAAACAAGGAGACCACTGTATAATGATATGAGGAACAATTCTCCTGGGAGATGTAGTAAACCTGAACTAAATAGCATAGTCTCAAGATATAAAGCAAAATGTTGCCAGAATTATAATGAAAAATGAATACAATTACTATCTTCATTGGAGTTATTCACATCTATCCGTAAAAGTCTTAGGACCAGGCAGGTAACTTGTTAAGACCATAGAAGATTTGAGCAACACAATGGCAAGAATGGTCTAATGGATGTGTATGGAGTTCTGCACCTAACTGCTAAAGATTATTCATTTTTTTCAAGCACACTTGGAACATTAATAAAAGTGTGTGACCCAGTAGTCCACAAAGCAACTTTCAACAAATAGTGTAGAGATAATGTCATACAGATCATTTGGTGTCTGATTATAATGAAGTAAAATTGGAAAGCAATGACAAAAACACAGGCAGTCCATCCCTCCTGTGTGTTTAAAAAATTATCCAACTCTTCTGTAAATAATTCATGAGCCAGTAAATCATAATGTATGTGGTAAAATATTTGTAATTAAAAAATAATACAGGAGGGCTTCCCTGGTGGCGCAGTGGTTGAGAGTCCGCCTGCCGATGCAGGGTACACGGGTTCGTGCCCCGGTCCGGGAAGATCCCGCATGCCGCGGAGCGGCTGGGCCCGTGAGCCATGGCCGCTGAGCCTGCACGTCCGGAGCCTGTACTCCGCAACGGGAGAGGCCACAACAGTGAGAGGCCCACGTACCGCAAAACAAAACAAAACAAAACAACAACAAAAAAAAATAATACAGGAATATATATTTTTTCTAAACTAACACAGAGAAGAGTATAATACAAATAAGAGCTTTCCCACCCCCTCACCCACTTACCTTTCTCCAGTTCCTCCTGCCTACTACTAATGGACAACTTCAATTAAAATTATTTTTGTGTATCCACCCAGAAATTGTCCTTTACTATTGTTACTTTCAAATCACATTTTCTTGTTTGTTTTGTATGTATGTATCTATGTATCTGCTTATCTCTCTATCTAGGCTATTTTAATAATCCCAGAACGTTGTTAGGGGCAGGATGCATTAACAGGAATGGACAAGAAAGTGAAGAGAAGGGTCTCGGTTTATAAGTCTTTTATCATTTTGTCAAGTAGTATATATCATTTTTCATTTAATAAAGTAGTGGTATGTATTTATGTTAGGAAGTTAGAAAAATGAATCAGCCTTTATAAGATTTACATAAGAAACAACTGTGATATATTGTGGTTTTGTTTTCTGCGCACTATTTTCCTTTAGAAAATTTGGATGAGAATCTACAAACTGTTTTGTAACCTAATTTTCTTCTCTTGAGAATATGGTGAATGAGGGTGATGAAAGAGAGAGATTGCACTTTATGGAATTCCCTGGCGGTCCAGTGGTTAGCACTCTATGCTTTCACTGCCGAGGATGCACGGGTTCAATCTCTGGTCGGGGAACTAAGATCCTGTGAGCCGCATGGCACGGCCAAAAAAAAAAAAAAAACCAAATAAAAGGAGAAAACAACTAAAAAAATAATAACTGTTTTGAGATGTAATTCACATACTGTATGATTTATCCATTTAAAGTGTACAGTTCAATTTTTTTTTTCTGTACTCACAGCTGCAGCCATCGCCACAGTCAGTTTTAGAGCATCATCATCGCCCCGACAAGAAACCTTGTACCCATTAGCAGTCACTTCCCATTTCCCCCAACGTTCTCACCTTAGGCAACAACCACTGACCTGCTCTGTCTCTATAGATCTGCCTATTCTGGACATTTCATATACATGGAATCCTACCAAGTTTCTTTCTGAGGTGATGAAAATGTTCTAACATTGACTAGGATGATGGTTGCACATGTCTGTGAATATATTAAAAACCATTGAATTGTATCCTTAAAATGGATGAATTTTATAATATGCAAATTCTGTTGTATTACGCTGTTAGAAAGGAATACGAAGAGAATATTATGAAAACCGTATGTTAATAAATTTGACAAATTCTTGAAAGATAAAAACAAAAAATGTGGAATCCTTACAATCTGGTCTTTCATGACTGGCTTCTTTCACTTACATTTTCAAGATTTCATCTATGCTATAGCAGGTATCATCAATTGCCTATGTTTTTGATTTTCTTGGATACATACCTAGGAGTGGAAATATCAGTGATATGGTAACTTTATTTTTAACCATCTGAGGAACTCGCCAAGGCTGTTTTCCGAAGTGGCTGCACCATTTTACATTCCCACCAGCAGTGTGTAAGAGTTCCAGTTTCTTCTGCACATCGTTGACACCACTTGGTGTTACCTGTCTTTTTCTTTTTTTAAACATTTCTTTTAAAAAAAATTTATTTATTTATTTTTGGCTATGTTGGGTCTTTGTTTCTGTGTGAGGGCTTTCTCCAGTTGCAGCGAGCGGGGGCCACTCTTCATCGCGGTGCGCGGGCCTCTCATCGTCACGGCCTCTCTTGTTGCGGAGCACAGGCTCCAGATGCGCAGGCTCAGTAGTTGTGGCTCACGTGCCCAGTTGCTCCGCGGCTTGTGGGATCTTCCCAGATCAGGGCTCAAACCAGTGTCGCCTGCATTGGCAGGCAGATTCTCAACCACTGCGCCACCAGGGAAGCCCCTACCTGTCTTTTTAATTATAACAAACAAATAGATATTCAGTGGTATCTTATTGTGATTTTGACTTGCATTTCCCTGGTAACTAATGATTTTGAGCATCTTTTCATGTGCTTATTGGTTATTTACATATCTCCTTTGGAGAAATGTCTATGCGTCTCCTTTGCTCATTCTTTAATTAGGTTGTATTTTTGTTAATAAGTTGTAGGAGCTCTTTATATATTGGCAAAACTTTTTCCCATTCTGTGCATTTTTTTCACTTAATGGTGTCCTTTGAAGCATAACTTCTAAATTTTGATGATGTCCAGTTGATCTGTTTTATCTTACATTGCTTGTGCTTTGATGTCGTATCTAAGAAACCATTGCCTAATCTGAGATCATGAAGATATTTATACCTATGTTTTCTTTCAAGAGTTTTATAGTTTTAACTCATATTTTTAGGTCTTTGATCCATTTTGAGTTAATTTTTTTATCTGGTTTGAGGCTGTGGTCTAACTTTATTCTTTTGCGTGTGTATATCCAGTTGACCTAGTGCCGTTTGCTAAACTACTCTTTACCCATGGAATTGCCTTGGCACCCTTGTCAAATACTAATTGACGTAAAGGTGGGGTTTATTTGTGGACCCTGTTCTATTCTATGGATCTCTACGTCTATCCTTATGCTACTACCACAGAGCCTTGATTACCACAGCTTTGTAGTAAGTTTTGAAATCAGAAGTGTGAGTCCTCCAGCTTTGTTCTTCTCTGTCAGGATTGTTTTGCCTCTTCTGGGTCTTTTGCATTTTTATGTGAATTTTTTTTTTTTTTTTTTTTGCCTCACCTCACGGCTTGCTGGATCTCAGTTCCCCAACCAGGGATTGAACCCGCACCATGGCAGTGAAAGCCCGGAATCCTAACCACTAGGCCACCAGGGAACTCATTATGTGAATTTTAGAATGAGCTTGTCAATTTCTTGCAAAATGAGCTTGCAAAAAAAGCAACTGAGATTTTGATAGGGATAACATTGAATCTGCAAATTAATTTGGGGAGCATACCATCTTAACAAAAATGCTTAAATTTTCCAATCCACAAACATAGGCTGTCTTTTCATTTCTTTAGGACTTCTGTAATTTCTTTTAACAGTGTTTCGTAGTTCCACAGTATACGTTTTACACTTCCTTTGTTAAATTTATTCCTAAGTAATTTATTCTTTTTGATGTTATTGTAAATTGAACTTTTTCATTTCATTTTCAGTTAGTTTATTGCTACTGTATAGAAATATATTCATTTTTGTATATTGATCTTGTATCCTCCGACCTTGCTGAATTAATTAGTTCTAAAGTTTAGTGGATTCTTAAAGATTTTCTGTATACAAGATCGTATCATCTGCACATAGAGCTAGTTTTACTTATTTCTGTACAATCTATATGTCTTTTATTTCATTTTCTTGCCTAACTG